ATATATATATATATATATACAGTATATATATATATATATATATATATATATAATGAACAAGTAACAGTGCTCTTGCTTTATAACTCTTTTTTTGTTCTGTAGCTCTTGGATCCTCCAGAGTGTGGAAATAGTTTTGTGGAGGCAGGAGAGGAGTGTGACTGTGGAAGCCCAGCCGTGAGTGATCTTACATCAACATCATGATCACATTAATCTGACACTGCTTATGTAATCAGGTTTTTTCTGTCTTTCTGCAGGAGTGTGCTAGAGAAGGGGAGAACTGCTGCAAGAAATGTATGTTGACTCAGGGAGCCAAATGCAGTGATGGTCTCTGTTGTAAGAACTGTCAGGTAGGCGCTGAGTCGAACAAGAAAACTCTGTAGCCTTCTGTTTGTGTGTGTGACTTTTAATGATCATTGTGCTATCTCTGTAGCTGGAGTTTATGGGTGTACTTTGTCGTGACGCTGTCAATGATTGTGACATACCTGAAATGTGCACTGGGAACTCCAGCCAGGTGAGGGCACTGTTACATACATCTCACAACACATCCTACAGCAGTAGAATTAATACATCAAAGGAATAGTTTAAAAAAGAAAATGTGCTGAAAATTTACTAACCCTCAGGCCATCCAAGATGTAGATGAGTTTGTTTCTTCATTTGAACAGATTTGGGGAGAAATTTAACATTACAACATTACATCACTTTCTCACCAATGGATCCTCTGCAGTGAATGGATGCCACCAGAATGAGAGTCCAAACAGCTGATAAAAACATCACAATTAAATTTTTAACATAGATTTTTTTTTTTTGTATCTTAATCTTTTTAATCGGTTTAATGGTATGGCTGTCACTTGGATGAACATGAATATATAAGATATAGCTTCTGGTTCAAGTCAAACACATTGCATTATGGGACACAGTATTCCATTCAGTGTGCTCTGCTTTATATTGCACATTTCTGCAAATCTAGTAGATCATACTAGTATTCTATGCATACATCAAATTCACATATCCTACTCTACCTGGTATACTGCATACGACATTCATTTAAAAACAGTAAATAGTATGCCATTCTAAACATGCTTTAAAATGTAAAACTCCATATATTTTTTAGTGTCCTCCAAACCGGCACAAGATGGATGGGTACACATGTGAGAAAGACCAAGTGAGTTTTATGTATATCAAATGTATATACTGTATATATATTAGTCATAATTTATTATTTATCATCTTATATTATTTTGATATATCAGTGTAACCTATTTTTCTTAATTTCACTCATTTTAGGGAAGATGTTTCAATGGCAGGTGCAAAACCAAGGACAGACAGTGCAAATACCTCTGGGGAGAGAGTGAGTGGCAATGTTATTTTAATATTATTTATACGCTATTATATTATTTATTATTATTTTGAATATTTTTTTTACATTTTATATTTAATTAAATTTAATTAAATTTTAATTTTAATTTTAACTTAACTTTTAATTTTATTTTAACTTTATTAGTTCTTTTTAATAATATTTCAAAGTGTTAATTTTTCTATTCTATTTGGTCTTAAAGGCAGGGTATGTGATTTTTCAAAAACACTTTAGAAAACTGATTCGTTTTATTTCAGTTTTAGTGTTATTCATTGTAGTACTTTAACTTAAACATATTTATTTCAGTTAGTGGTGCTGATGTAATTATGACGTGTGATGTCTCTGTTTCTAAAGAAGCAACATCGGCTGATAAGTTTTGCTATGAGAAACTCAACATTGAGGGCACAGAGAAGGGCAACTGTGGACGTGACAGAGACACCTGGATTCAGTGCAAAAAACAGTGAGTTCGACGGTCATACCACACTGATGGGGAAGTGTGTTAACCTTAAAAGTGTGTGTATGTATATTGTATATTTAAAAAAAAATTGTTATATTATAGAAATTTCTATGAATTTTTCCAGGCTTGAAAATTATGCTTAAAATCACATAATTTCCTAGTTTGTGTTAATCTTGTGCTAATTACTTTTTTCTAATTTATTATGGGATTACCTTAATTTTATTTACTCTATCTAGATTAAAAAGTGTGCATGTGTGTGTTTTAGGGATGTACACTGTGGATACCTGCTGTGCTCCAACATTTCTCCTGCACCCAGACTAGGAGAGTTACAGGGAGGTTTGACTTCTTTCTCTGTGGCCCAGCACAGCGCCTCACTGGACTGCAGGTACATACACAAACACACGCTCACTTCAGCTTTCTATGTGATTGATTTTCCTAAAGTGAGTTTGAATGTTTCAGTGGAGGCCATGTGCTGATTGATGGCAACACTGATTTGGGATACGTAGAGGATGGAACGGCGTGTGGGACGGATCGCATCTGCTTTAATCACAAATGCCTCCTAGTGCAGGAATTCAACTTCAGCACGTGCCCCGGCACCAACGAAAGGGTGATCTGCTCCGGACATGGGGTGAGAGATTGTGTGTGGTGTGAATTGTGACAGTTGTGTCACCCACCGATCCAGTTTCAGCTGAAAAAAAGGTGCACATTAACGAGTGCCAAATGCCATGAATAAATAATTAGAAGACAGTTTGGACTGTGAAATGGTAATTTTCTTATTTATTGTGGAAATAAATGTGCCAAATATTCTAAGTGTGGCAAAAATGACCTGACAGCTTTCATTCAAACAGAGAAGCCTGATATTGGTAGAGAAAGAAACATCACTATATTACTATATACACTATATAAAAGGCACAGCTAAATGTGAAATTTATGATAGGCTAATGGGATAATGTGAAGATTGTTGTAAGTTCACTTAAATTAAAAGTTATACTATTTTTATATAATAATGTTCTGTAACAGTTTAAGTCTATTAAATGATGGCACAAATTTTACTATAATGTAGAATAGCAACATTTATATTTAAAAAAAATATCTATTGGTATTGGTGATTAAACAAATATTTCAAATATACCGTCTTTATATTTTTCCTACTTTAATTTGGAGATTCATCGTGAAAATGTATTTATGGTTACTAATGTTTATGTTAGATGTGATTAATTGCGATTACAGAAAAATGTGCTATAAATTAGCTAACATTTTAATGGATATCTATCAGTATTGGTATTGGTGATTAAACAAATATTTCAAATATACCGTCTTTATATTTTTCCTACTTTAATTTGGAGATTCATTGTGAAAATGTATTTATGGTTACTAATGTTTATGTTAGATGTGATTAATTGCGATTACAGAAAAATGTGCTATAAATTAGCTAACATTTTAATGGATTGAAAGCACTGATTTTAATGTAAAATAATTTATTATGAATGTATAAATAATAATAAAAAGACAATAATAAATTGTCAAAATTTTATAAATAAAAATTTTAAATAACGTAATAAATCATACTGTGGGCCAGATTGAACTCTTTCATGTGCTATATTTACATTTTGTTTATATAAATACCCATAATATTTGAATAAACAGTTCACTGATTTAAGTCCCTGCATAATCTTTTATTGTAGCAAACGATTTAGTTAAATGCTGCTGTTCATCACTGTGTTTTGACTTCATTCTATAATTGCTTTATCTATATGTGTGTGTGTGCTGTAGGTGTGCAGTAATGAGCTCAGGTGTGTGTGTGACCTGGGCTGGGCAGGTGAGGAATGTAACGCCACCTCTCCTCTGAGTTACCTGCTGGTGCGACCCACAGCCAAAACACCAGGTAGGCCAAACTTTCACCTTTGCTTAGTCTTCACAAGAGAATGATATGCAGAACCAGTTCCACTATTTGTAGATCCTTTACCAACATGCATTACAAAACCAGCTTATGACATGAATCCAGAAGCAGCAGACATGGCAGTTATGAGCAAAAGCCTCCAGCAAGTGGAGACTCACCGCCTTGCTTAAAGCTTAAAGAATCAGATGTCGTGTCTGGGCATATTTCATTGGTAATTTGTGTAAAACGGACACATATGTCAACTTTACAAGAAATAAGGTGTTCTCTTATGCATCAGCGATATTAATGCACTGAAGGATTTTATTTAATCATTTTAATTTATTTAGTGAAAAACAGTTTAGAATTTATTAATTATTTACAAGATTTTTACATTCAATTAATCCTTACATTAAACATTTTGAATCTACTTGACTGTTAGGTTAAATTTGATGGTTCCTGTTATTGCAACACAATTGTAAGCTGTTTCAGATACATAACCATTAAGATATTTAACAAATATATATATATATAAATATATGAATGCTGAATATATCAAGATAATTTTTTTTGTTAGTCTGTTTTTCTTCTGTTCTGTTTTCATGTTCATGTTCATTCACCACTCACACACATTTCACACGCTTTTAATTTCTCTTTTTATTTTTCTGTTTCATGGCTTTTGTTTATATGCACTCGTTCTTTGTGGACAGGCTCATGTCTTTTGCTGGAGTGACAGTGAGTTTAGATTTGAGTTGTTGTTTGTTGTCGTTTTGTCGTTCACTCGCCCCATCATTCCTCCGTGTTTCTGTCTGAATGAAAGCTAGCAGTGTTTATCTGCTGTGCTGTGTTGTTATAAACATCGTCATATACCCTGTTTTATGGATTTTATTTTAAATGGATGCCTTTAACATACAGCCTCCGTGGACAGAAAGAGTCATAAATCTTTATCTAAATCTTTTTTCTGGTTTCTGTCTCTATCTGTTTTTATTCCAGATTGATTTTGGCATGCGGTCAACTGGACAAAAAAAAAGATTCTGTATCTATATCAGATTAGTTTTGGTTTGTCCAGATGATTGCAGGTCAGTGTTGACTTTTAGTTGCCATGGCTACACATTAAATGTTCTGTTCCTCTGACAGGCACCATCACTACTAACATCATCATCGGGGCCATTGCAGGCTCTATCCTGGTCCTTGCACTGATTCTTGGCATTTCTGCATGGGGATACAAGTGAGTCACATGACTACAGACCCCACAATAGCTGAAAACATTTTTTAACTTTATTTAAAGGGATAGTCCACCCCAAAATTAAAATTCTATCACCATTTACCTTCATGTCATTCCAAACTTTCTTGCACTGAACTCAGAAGAAGATTAGCAGAATCTCCAAAGGGCTATTTTTTTTTTTATTTTGTTGAAACTTTTGGAGCACAACAGCTTCTGCCTTCACTTTAATTGCATGGTGAAGAGCACCTCAGAAATTTTCTAAACAGTTCCTTCCGTGTGCTCCACAGAAAAAGTCATACATACAGGTTTGGAACGAGTGAGGAAGACACAGTAATTTTTGGGTGAACTGTCCCTTAAACTGGCATTTTACATGCACTCGTGATTGCAACAGGCATTGTTTACCACATACAGAACCAAATGATATACAGTTTTACATTTGTTCTTTTATTATGCTTTTCCCTGGATGTTTTACACTAATTGTGGTTGTTGCTTTTTTCTGTGTTTTCTCCCATGTGAAGGAGCTACAGACAGCGTCAGTATGTTGAGTCAGACGTACACAGAAGATTCTGTCGGTTTGTTCTCCTTTCTCTTCGTTTTCTGAGAGTGTTTTTATGTGTTGTGTGAGGGAGTGGAAAGTTTCGAATTACTGCTAAGGTTATTATTATTGCTTATACTTTTGGATTAAGGATTTCAACAAGCTCCCTAACCTATGTATTACATTTGCCACCCAAAAGTTTGGGTAGGTAAGATTTTTTAATTATATTTAACATAATTTCACATAAATTCTTATATGCTGATTTGGTGTTCACATTTCTTCTAATTATTATCAATGTTGAAAAAAGTTGTGCTGATTATTGCTGAAATTCATTCATGAAAAGAAAGTTCAGAAGAACAGGATTTATTCTAAATATAAATCTTCTGTAACAAATCTTTTTACTGTCTCTTTTGATCATTTTGATGTGTGCTTGCTGAATAAAAGTATTAATATCTTTTTTAAAATCTGACCCCAAACTTTTGAATCGTAGTGTACTTCATATAATTTTCTAAGTGATCAGATTTAAGATTTTTGCTGGTGGATAATATTCCCAGCTCAGTTTTCATATCAAACTTTCTTCATTTTGTCAGTCAAATGCCTCCTGGTGATTACGTGAAGAAGCCTGGAGATGCTGATTCTCTGTACAGTGATATGCCGCAGGGTGTGAGCTCAAACTCCGGCAGCAGCTCCAAGAAGAGGTCTGCCTACCTGTCTCACCTCCAAATCAACACCTGCTCTTTCACCCCATCTATCCCTTCCATCAGCCAAAACATCTCTCTGTTCGGCTTCAGGTGTGCTTCATCTCCATCTTCATCTTCATCGCTTTGCCTGCTCTGCTAACAAAAAGTGTAAAAGTTTACTTTGAGAGCTCAACAGACTTAATGGAGTTCCCAGTTATGTTTCATTTAAGTATCAACTTTGTCTCAGATGTTTCTGTGAAAATTGGAGACTTAAGACATGAATGAGACATTGTAACATATAGTAAAAGTATATAGCTATGAACTTGATGCTCATACATAATTTGATGAGAAATGTTAAAGTTCATACTGAGATCTCTGACTTTAAGCATCTTTGCAAATCTGAACACAGTTTGAGACATTGTGATCTCTTCTCAAACTAGAGATGTATGTGAGATTATTTTCCTCAGGACAAACATCTCAGAAGTCAGTCACCATTTGCGCTGGATTTAGTCACATTGCAGTCTAGTAGATGCAACTGAGATATTAAAAAGATCTTGTTTGTGAAGGGACAGTTCATACTTTTGACTCTGAGCTGTATATTATTAAAAGTGTGAAATAATTCCAGTTTTATTTGGCACAGACTTCTTCAAAATAAACTGTGCTGTTCCTTCTACTGGACCTCATTTTTAGTCAAGACTTGAAGATTTTTATTCCTTCTTTAATGACTTCTCTGCTGCAGGTTTGTGCTCAAAACTGTCCGTTTGTCTTTCTCTTGGTTATTGTTAGTCCTATCAGGCTCTTGTATCATTAATACTGGGACATAAGTAAGTCAGTGTCTTCATGGTGTCCATCTCCATGATCTCATCTTGCTCATTTCAGTGTGTTTGTTCTGCTCATCACAATGATGCGGGTCATTCCTACTTTACAGTATCTTTTGATCTCTGCTTAAAAATTAATGTACTGTAATAAGAAAGAACTTTTGATTTCTAGCTAGACATTTAGACCCCTGCAATATTGCCTAATACATTGCCAGTTTTCCATGATGGTATGCAGCACACAGAGACATGGGAAAAACACACTTAATTGTGTGCTAAAAGAAAGCAAACTGATATAATTTCTATCTTTAATAACAGTGAGTCCAATATTTTATCTAATGTATGGGAACATTAAAATGTACTGCTTAGTAGGAATGGCCCATGTGACGTCTCTGTCATTTGTTTTCCTCATACAGAACCCTTTTAATCGCTAACTGCATTTAATGAACTTCAATAAGAATTTCTCTGTTCTTTGGTCTGAAGATCTAATGGTCTGTCTCACTCCTGGAGTGAAAGAATCCCAGATGCCAAGCACATTTCTGACGTCTGTGAAAATGGACGACCCAGGAGCAACTCATGGCAAGGTAACGCACCCATAAATACATCTGCTCGAAATGGCAGAGCTTGCATCAGATTCGTCTCAGCATTCATGTGTTCTTCTCCTCTGTCGATGTAGGAAACATCACAGGCACCCGTAGGAAGCTCAAGGGAAAGAAGTTCCGTCCACGCTCCAACTCCACAGAGTAAGAGATGCAGTGTTGCCACAGTGACGTGTCACATGACACCGTACAGAGACTGATGTAGATGTTGGACTTTGCATTGAGTCTTAAACTCTATGCCATGTTTCAGTACTACAGTCTGTAGAAGTCCAAGCAAATTAACTGAAACGTTATTTTGTGTGTTTGGAGTAAATGTTGGTTTGTTTTGAGTGTGCATTGATGTGTGCATCGGTTTAACCTCTGGAACAAACAGCACGTTGAAACTGACCTGCACGTCTGTCATCATCTTTATGAACACAAGATACACTCTGATTCTGATTTCAGCTTGATGCTCGTTTCTGCACCTCAACTCTCTTTTTTCAAACGCATGTGACAAACTGACCACAACTAAAACAAAACACAACATGCAGCTGACCTACACAAATACTACAACTTTATTTTCAAATATTCGTTCAAATCTCAAGCAAGACATATTCAGAAACGCATTATAGTCAGCAGCATCGTACTTCTGAGATGTGCTTTAATGTTGAATAGCTTGATGGTTGTGGAAAAGTTCTGCTAAATTTAAAGGAATAGTTCACTGAAAAATAAATCATCATTCACTCATCATGTCATTCCAAACCTGTATGACTTTCTGTCTTTAGAAAGCGAACAGAATTTTGATGCTTTTTTATGCTAAACCATTTAGTGATCAGGGCCTGTTAAACTATTAAAAATTATCAAAAAAAAGTAGTCAGTTTGACTCAAGCACTATATTCTAAGTCTTCTGAGGCCATATGGTATGTGTCACAACCGGGACAAAGAGGCAGACAGGCAGGTTAACGTAAGTCAGAGAGGTTAATAATAGGAACTTAGGAGAGGCTTCCAACGGAAAAGAGATCAACATAGGGAGTAATGGAAGCAAACACACAGTCTTATCTGGGTCGGCACTCCGGTCCTCCGGCCGAGAATTGAGGATTCCGAGGGGGACAGGCAGATCGGAAGGCGAGGAACCAGGACAGAGAAGCTTGCAACCTTGAGACCAGCCGACGAGTGACTGAGGTGAGTGTGTATTTGACTGGTGTGGTAAGTGGGTGCAGGTGTCCGTGATCAGTAATCAGGTGATTGTGAGCGGGTGTAGGAGGCTGATTCGGCTGGTGAGGCAGGTGTTTCCGTGACAGTATGATATGAGGAAGAGATCTTAATTCACGTGTAATTACTGATAACCTTAACCTGTGCCATAGCTCTTAAATCTAATTTGCATACATTTATTCAACCTTGATGCTTGAAGAAATATTATATAATATAGATATAATATTGTAATATTACTGCGGAAACTGTGATGCAGTATTTTTCAGGATCCTTTTATGAATAGAAAGTTCAAAAGAACAGCATTTATCTGAAATATTAAAGACATTTATAATGTTACAGAAGATTTTTTTCCACTTTTTTCAGTTCAGTGTTCAGTTCTTTAAAAAAAAAAAAATCAGTCAGCTTACTGACCCCAAACTTTTGAACAATAGTAAACTGTAAACTTTTGAATATGCATGTGTGAATGAGATATTATTGCTACAGGAAGGGGAAGATTTTCATCGAATACGGCTTAAAGTACTTAATAAAAGTTCTTGTATGGCTTTGAATACAGTGCACAAGTCATACGGACTACTTTTATTATTCTGTTTTTGTCATTTTAGATATACACTAACCCTATTTCACTTTCATTGTATTGAAAAGAACATTCTAGTTTGTGTTCCACTGAAGAAAGAAAATCAAATAGGTTTGGAACGACAAGTAAATTGACAAATTTGACATTTTTGGGTGAACTAAGGTCAATTGGATGCTGATGTTACAGCAGCTGTTTTTTGTAGAGTCTTTGATTTTTTCTGTCCTGCACCAACCATAAAGTAAAAAAGCTTCATGATATCTGTGTAGGTGCTGTAGTCTAAGCTGCTGTCTGATCTCTCACCTGCATCTTGGACCGTAAAGAACTTTTACCAACTTCCTTCTTTATCCTGTTTCTCCTATCTCTGCTGTTCTTTCTCTTCTCCCCATACCCTTCCCTTTCTCTATCTCTCTGTTCACTATCGCTCCTTCCCCATCCTCCTGCAGGTATTTAACCCCTTGCGTCAAATCAGAGTATTATGTAACTAAATGGGTAGAAGATGTGAATAAAAACACTGAAGGACCTTATATTAGGTACAATAACATCAGACTGCATTATATCTGTCCCCTATTCATCAGTTTCCCTCCTCAGTTGTTCGTTCCCCTAACCAAATATCATTTTTCAGAGATGAGAGCTGAGTGCAAAGGTTTGAAGAGCACTTGCTGGCAGAAACGACCCCAAATCAAATATTAATTTCAAAGTATTTGTTTCTTCTAAGCCTTTATTATTCCATTGCAACAAGTCATCAACAGATACACTAGAAATTAAACTGCAGTGTCACATATTAGGGAAAGTTATTTAAAAGTAGTGTATTGTAAATGCATGAACATTTCTACAGTTACAAGAATCAACAGTATATCCAGACATCCAGTGTTTTGTAATCGTAAGTCATAAATGTTTGTCCTTAGAAATCTTCCATTCATACTTCACGAAACAGTCGTTTAACTGATGGCTTGTCTTTAAAGGAAGACAAAAGGCATTTGATAATCAGTACATCATTTGATGTAAACATCAAAAATCATGGGATGCAAGTATCCAAGAATGCCTTTCATATGATCATCTCACAAAATCAAGAACATGTTCAGATGAGATTTCAGTCCAAAATCAACTGAAATAAGAAATAATTTTTCACATAGAAAATATTTTTAGGACCATGAAGTTTTTTGTTACATTGTGACATTATTTTAATGACAAAAAAAGGACATTTAAAAAGAAATCTCAAAATTCTCATTATTGTAATGCAAATAAAAATAAACAATCCTTCAACAATGAACAATTCATTCAACAATCAAAATTGTCTTTATTGTAAAGCAAATATACATCATTGTACATTTTTACTACCTTTAATCTATTTGAATTTAAATAAAGATATTACAGTAGTTCTTTCACTCTAGTACAGTTAAAATGACTTTAGAATTAGAATCACCAATCAGTTATAATTATACATTTTTCAAGTAGTGTCTTAAGACTTGAATGTGTGGGAAACATTGTCACAGTGCCAATGATCATGTTCCTAAAAATGATTTTATATGGGTATATATATTTTATGTCATTATCATATATATCATAATTATCTCATTCATTTTACTGAACATAATATTTTCTTTTGATTTTGGACTGAAATATAACTAGGATGTGTTTTCGTGAGATTCACTCAGGTGCTCTGTGTAGGTTGTTTTATTTTTGCATCTGTGTGTGAACATCAAAAGACCAAACCAGTCTCATTTATTGTCGTTAAAGCTCTGTGTTTGTTTGATTTTAGTTTTTTGTTTTATTCCTCCTCCACTGCTCTATACCTCTCACACTCAGTGTCCCTCTCTGCATGCCGGCTGCTGCTTAACGTGTGTCGCTTTTGCACTCTGTGATGTCATCATCATTTGGCTGACATAAGTCTCTGTGACGATGATCACATGTGTCTGTCCTGATCACCTCATCATGTCCGCCATGTTTGTAAGCCCACATGACGTTTGTTAAACATCCCAACAGCACTACATTGTGCTCGCGGTATCTGCCCAGCTTCACTCTCCAGTAAGATCCAGTGGGTATTTTTGTGGCAAGGACTGATGAAGTTAGTGATTTTGGATGATGGTTTGCCGTGGAAACACTCCCTCTGACCTCTTCAAGGGGTCAAAGGTGACAGCTCCATGTTTGTTACCGCTAGTATCCGGTTCACGCACTACAGTACTAATGTCACATCTCTCCGTACCCTCAGGACACTGTCACCCGCCAAATCGCCCACTTCTTCAACGGGCTCCATCGCCTCCAGCCGGAGATACCCCTACCCCATGCCTCCCCTTCCAGATGAGGAGAGGAAGGCCAACAGACAGAGTGCCAGGGTAAGACTTACCATATGTCAGCGTCACTATATTATCATATCATATAGTTTCCTCAGAACAATGATTTAGCTTTTGTTTCTCAAGGGGTTATTACACCACATTTTCTGCACAATGTGTAACTTTAGAGCTTTTACTCAAGATGATCAGTCCACTAATGAAGAGATCTTTCGAAATTCATTAAATTAATTAAAAATGAACCTACATTATAAAACTAATCAGAGATGAATTTGACATTTCGAAAGATCTCCTCATTAGTGGACTGATCATCTTGAGTAAAAGCTTTGAAACATTTACAGCATTTACATTTGTTTTGAATCAATGGTTCGGAACTTGTATCAAACTTTCAAAATTCCAATGGTTCGCCACTAGATGGCGTCAGGGTTATTATACAGTAGTTAACTAAAACTAAAACCATTTTTAAAAAATCGTTACTTGAATCAAATAAATGCTAGCTGAAATAAAATAAAATATGAAAATGTATTTGATTTCAGCTAGTTTCCAAGGCAACATTTCTAATTTTTATTTAGTTTAACTTGATGTACTAAAAATTCTTAAAACCTATATAAACCTATGTAAAAACAACAAAAACTAATAAAAACGACAACAAAAAGCACACAACAAAATTACTCAAACTTTAACTAAAATTAACATGAAATCAGAAAACAAAAATAAAATCTAATTAAAAATATATTTAAAAACTATAATAGTATCTCAATTATACTAAAATAACACTGGATGACATTGATCTGGTGAACACATGAACACGTGTCAAATTCATCTCTGATTAGTTTTATAATGTAGGTTCATTTTTAATTAATTTAATGAATTTTAATACTTGTGTGTGTATAAAAAGGAAAATGAAACTTAAATGCTACTAATTGACTTGTTTGTCAAGCCCTGCCTAATAACACGAAACAATTGGTTCAGAGCTTCGAAAAGCGTTGTTTTCCCATTGCTATCATGCACAGATCATATGAAGCACTTAGTCAAAAAGTAAACTAGATACCCACAAGCCTGGGGCCACATTCACAAAAAAACTGTGAGGAAGATAAGGCATTTTTTAAGATTAATTTTAAGAAGTTTCTAAGAATGTTCCTAAGTGCAATTCTTGAAAATTTTCTTGAAAGAAATTCTCAAATATTTACTCAAGAACATCTAATTTTGCTGAAGACTTTGTGCCGCCTGCACATTATTGTAATAATCATAATAAGCATGCATACTTTTTTCATCATGACTGGCTTGAATAGCATGTGTTCATTTTGTCTGTGCGTGATCTGTTTCAGCTGTGGGAAACGTCAATATAAAAGAACTCCTCGAAACTGGTCTGCAAAACTCCGTAAGGATTTTCCTCCGCTTTTGTATGAATGAGAAAATGAAATAAGAAAATAAGGAATTCAAATGGAGAAACAAGGGACGAGTGAATGGAAGAGTTGGGCGTGGTCTCCTCTGATCTCTGTTCAGCATTTGTGGCATGGAGCAGTCTCACCCTGGACGTTGAGGAGCGTGGTATCAGATTCCCATTCCTGCTGTCATTCATAAACAGGACTCAGGAACACGATTTCATCACGAGACAAACCCGGAATGGCAGCCGTGCTAAGCAGAAACAGAAACAACAGCAGCCACTCCTGCCCTCGTTAAACCCCACCCCCTCCTGTGACCCCACACATGCCCTGCCCCGCCTCCAAACACATGCTGTCTTGTGATTGGTGCCCTTGTTGCCTGGGTGCAAGAAGCTCATGCAGGAGCAGGAAGTTAACTATTGTTTTGAGCGCACGCTGTCACTGTAGAACCTACTGCTGTATGCATGAGAAAACATGTTTATCGATTCCTTGTAGTGTAACGATGTACAAATGTTTTAAGATCTTTCACTCAAGGGTGCCGCATGTATTGAAGGACAGCTTCGTAGGCTGGTAAGATTCAATCCCATTTGAAACCCCCACGTCCACTTCACCAGAACATCACCCGGGCCCGTTCATGCAGTCATCTCTTCTCAGAGAATTTTGTACATATGTCATATAATTCAGAGTGAAATGTGAGAGTGTAGTATTTTTCGGTTTTAATGTTTGGTTGTGCAGAGCGTGGTGGAACTTCTCTTCTGCTTTAGAGTGTCTGTCCTGTGATCGTCTTCCTAAATTTACAGAATCCATCACAAGCCTAGCACACGCTACAAGGCAGAAGCGCCATTTCATGATTTCTGCATCAGTCCCAGATCATAGCAGTACGTCACGATCACTGACACTTTTGTAATGTCCAAAATCTTCTACTTCAAATTGAGTAGTTAAAGGAGTTAAGATCAATTTTAAAGTTGTGACAAACAGAAATAGCTACAGATCTTTTTTTCCTCTGTGATGTATATCTTGAGTGTAACTGATTATTGAAAAAGAAAAACTTTAGGACAGGGACCTGCTTCCATCTGTAGGTTTTTGATTGATGGAGGCAGATCTGAATGCCAGTCTGCAGAAGAAGGTGGTCGCTGCAGAGCTTGACATCCAGCTCCCATTCTCTGGATGTAATGGGTGGAGCTTTAAGGTCTAACCACACCCTAAATAACCATAACCCTATCCCTGAACATAACTAGGTCCGGAAACGTCATCCAGCTCCACCCATTCGATTCATTTGGTGACTGCAAGACAGAGGCGGGGTTTAAGTAGACTAAATGATTGGAGAAGTCTGACACATCACCAGAGAGAAGTTGTTCGTTTTTAATGGAAGCTTGTTTCTGTCACAGAATAAAACAATTAAAAAAGGTAATTGCAACTCTTTATCTACAATTCTGGAGTTTTTTTCTTGCAAATCTGAGTTTATAACTTGCGATTTTTACTTTTCTATCAGAATTGTGAGATAAAAAGTCTCAATTACTTTTTTTTTTTAATTCCATGGTGTAAACAAGCCACAAAACATCTTGATTAAACATTACGAGGTTAAGAGAGAGAGAGAGAAAAGAAATATGAATGGATGAATTGTTCACAATAGCATACATCACAGGTCTTCAACCCTGCTCCTGGGGAGTTCAGCTCCAACCCTAATCAAACACACCTGAACCAACTAATGCTGGGTACACACTAAAAGATTTTTAAAATCTTATAAGATCTTCAAGATGTGAGAGACCACAAACATGAGGACAAAAAACTCCTAGATTTAACTGTTTTGCTCCTATAGTGTGTGGTGTCCTCGGGGGTTCCCACCCACACATCAGGATTTCTGATCGTAAATATTCAACATGTTGAGTATTTACGATTCGCGATCGGGGCGCCTCCGACATTCTTCCGAGCAGATTCAGTCACTCTTAACACACCTCACACCACAGGAAAATCTGATAAGATAATCTTTAGAACCACCAAGATAATCGGGACATTACCTAGGATTGTCGGAAGGGGAGAAATCGGCCCAAAATCAGCCCGATTATCTTGTGGTGTGTACCCAGCATAATCAAGGTCTCCAGGATCACTTGAAAAGTCACAGGCCAGGTGTGCTGATACAGGTTTGAAAGAAACTCTGCAGGACAGTGGGTCCCCAGGAGCAGGGTTAAAGACCTATGCCATACATTAAAATAATAGATAGGATGGATTTTCATGATGACTTTAAAAATCTGCAGTAGTGTCTACATAAGTTTACAATTAATGGACTATGTGTCAGTTACAAAGTGCTACCATGACAACACATGAGAAAATGAAATGAGCTTCTTCATTGTAACGTGCACGAGGCCTTATTAGTCTCTGTTTGTGATTCAATCGAGTTTTTCCCCTCATGCTCACTGTAATTCTTTCATTTACTTATCGTCTTCATCTCACGTTATTTATAATTCTCTCGTAAGCGTAAGGAATGTGATTTTAGCTGATTGTTTTTGGGTACTTGGCTTTTTTGTGATACATGCTGCAACAGGAACAGATTTGCGTATTGTCTATCCACCTTATTTTTACCGTAAGTGCGGGCGCGGCCATTTTTCACCAGTGTGCGAGGTTTCCAGTGTCAGTCCCTTCCAAAACAGTCTGTTATGATGCGTAATATTGCAAACTTGAATTTATTATTGTAATCTTAAATACTGGTCCTTTACACAAGAATTTCAAGTTTTACAGTTAACTGCATTTTGTTATTCTTCTAGTTACTTAACCATTGCATCTGATGAATCAGAAGTCTCGCACGTTCACAAAAAAAAAAAGCTTCCGCATTGATTTTAGATTAAATGTTTAAAAAGTTATTTTCCCATTGAAAAATAAGGTGGATAAAACGAACGCGAATTGCAAGAACTGAAGGAAATAAATGTTTTATATGAGAGACTGAACTAATATGCTCAACTAAAACCCCGGAGATGTTGTGAATGTAAGACTAAACATATTTCCTTGATAAATTATGAGGTTTAGGGAGGAGATTTTTTAAAACACATTCTCCCTGAATAACATGCATGTAGACTTGCTGTTATGAACCCATAATCACAGTTTTCTGAGTTTGGTAGACATTTGTTTACAGCATGACACTCCTCAAGCTACACGGTATCCTTCTGGTCACGTGACCATCCGGCCTTGATAGATTGCCTACTTCTGGTCAGTATTGTATTAGTAAGGGCAGTTTTCATCTGTACATATAGTCTGCTGTGCGTTCGGACCTGTCGGCACTGATTTTTAAACTCTGCCTGTAATCCACGAATAACGTCCCGTAACATCGCAATGATGCATATGAAGTATTTTTAAGGTAACTTTGTAAAGTCTTTCCCTCCTCCCCAGTATTACTACTTGTACATATTTAACCCCCAACGACAATTAAGTGCTTTAGAATGATTAATACCGCAATAGGTTCTGTGCAAACTTTTTTATTTCATTAACAGGTCGCTTTTGTACATCACGTAGGACATGATGACTTTCTGTGTTTGTATTTGCAGTTTAAACACATTCAGTACCGTCAGGAGACTGAACTCACACAAAGAACATGAACAATAACTCAGTATAGTTTATTTTCGTTTATAATAACTGACCATCTGAAGCAATACTCTCTGCTCACTGTGACCCTGACCTTTCCGAAACAAATGCACACTCGTACTGGAATAAACGTGTCAGTCAAAGCCGAGTCTGATGCTAGTCATATTTAATCGATTCATCAGGCCTCTCAGCACATTGATCCCTGATTGAAGGACACAACCAAAATACCTATGAATGTATTTAAGAAAATTCATATTTTCACACATAGCCACACCCACTCTGAGATCTATGGAAGCCCGTTTTCACCACAGGATTAATAATAATAAAAAATGTGATTGCTTTTTCTTAAAAAAGTAAAATATAAAAAATATCTAAAAAGGTGCAACTCCCCCCCACCCCCCACCTCCACGCAACAATTATGAGTTTATTTCGCACAATTCGTACTTTTTCCTCAGAATTGTGAGAGAAAAAGTTGGAATTGCGAGATATAAACTCACAATTCTAACTTAACGTTACTTTCTCACAATTCAAAGTTTACATGTTAACGTTCTTTTTTTCCCACGATACGGAATAAAAAGTAAAAATCGTAGGAATTGCGAGATATAAACTCAGAATTCTGACTTTCTCACAATTCCGAATTTACATGTCGATTTTTTCCCCCGCTACAGAATAAAAAATGAAAGGTTAAAGTAAAGTTAAATAAAGTTAATTGCAGCGTTTTATCTAACAATTCTTTCTTTTCTCTTTTTTTTCCTAAGAATTGCAAGAAAAAGAATTGAAATTATTTTTATTTTTATCGTATGGTGGAAACAAGCTTCTATAGCGAGCTCTCTCGCACACACAAACTGAAATCCACGACAGCGTTAACCGGTAGTGATTTTTGTGCAGCTGTAATTTACATCTTTTCCATGCTTTCTGCGCAGTCACTCTGTTGTTTCTCTTGTGTTTGCATCTGACCGTGTACACAGTGTTGATATTCATAGATTCTTCGTGGCTGTTTTTGTTCATTGTGTGCTGTACATAGACTGACAATTAAAATGATAAATGCTCATTTTTTTCATACAGCATCCATTCAGTATTGTAATATATTTAAGATAAAAGTAAAACTTTCATTCAAATCATGTCTCGTGTGGTGTGCAAAAAAGTTCTTGTGTACAGTTTCAGAATAATTCTCACTCTAAATTCTGATTGGATGAGCCACAGCGTACATTTAAACCAATGAACCAAATCCACAATTTTTTTTTTTTAATCTTATTACTGTTGCCACCATTTTATAAAAGCAATAAGTCTTGAGAGGTTGCGAGTTAGAGATTAATTCTTCAAAAGTGTTTAAATGTCCTAAAAAGTTGTATCAAAACATACACATATGGCATTTATTACACCAGCAGACAGATCAGGTGAGTAACAGCTACAAAAGATGATCATGTTTTAAAACTGAAATGTTAAAAATGTTAATCAATTTCATTAGTGCTTTAAGAGAAAGACAAATGATATCAAATATGATTTGACATTACAACAGGCACATTTACAGTACAGTCCTAAATTCATCGAAAATGAAACTTGGCACATGAGCCTCTGCCACCTGAAAAAGAAGAGAAAAGAAAAAGGATTTCTCCTCATTTTATGTTGTAAAATATTTGTGTCTTTAAAAAAAATACAAAATCTCATGGCAATATTTCCTACCTTTCTGGGCAGTTTAGTGTAACGCACATAGTCCTCCAGAAACATTAATGCTCCGACTACATCTGAAGGCATATCTGGAATCTTCTGACTGTACGGAACACAGACACTGTTAAACACTTCTGTTGCTATCATGCAGAAAAAAAATACAGATTTTATAAAAAAAAAAGAAAAAGAAAAAAAAAAAAGCTAGATTCTACCTTAAAATTAGAGAATAAATTATGCCTTGCTAGAAATGAATATCAAGATTTTTTTTGCATTATTATTTTTATGACAACTAAGCATATTTAACACCATAATGCAATAAAAAAATTATTTACTGTAATACAAAAAAATATATAGTTTAAATTTATAAATCAATTTAGTATTTGTTGTACTGCCTTTATGTAGATTATAAAAAAACTTGTTATAAACTATTTATATTTTGTATTATTTTATTCTATATATTTACATTTATTATACTCTCTACATATTAACATTTTTTATATTTTGTGTTATTTTACTCTATATAACTTGCTTAGTTATATATTTTATATTATATATATATATAATTTATTCTAAAACTAAAAGATATTAAAAGTCTTAATAGTCCTAAAACAGTCTGTTTACTTATTATTTTTTGGGGCATATTCTTGTTCCTCTATCATCACATAGTATACCAAAGTGAGGTACCTGGTGCACTGCTCCATTATGGAGCGAATAAACTGTCCGATCAGAGCCAGGAAATGTTCAGTGTATCTGGAGTGAAACTGTTTGAGCAGCGTCAGGAGACCCAAAACCAGAGGAGCCCAATCCACCGGATCTGTTGCCTTCCTGCACGTCATGCCTGCAAAAAACACAAACACCTCCTCTATCAAACCCACACGAGCAGGATGTTCACCAAGATTTTTTTACTACTTTAATTACTACTTTTATTAATAAAAAATGTATAAATAAAAAACAGTAAAGACATTTACAATGCTACAAAAGATTTCTATTTCAAATGTTCTTTTGAAATTTCTATTCATCAAAGAATCCTGAAAAAGTAAAGTACCACAATTTCCACAAAAATATTAAAGTGCCCCTATTATGGATTTTTGAAAATTAGCTTTCATGCAGTTTGTAACACAGCTCTAATTGAATGAAAACATCCTGCAAAGTTTTAAATCTGAAAGTGCACCGTGTATAAAGTTACTGTCTCTCAAAAGAAAGAGTCGACTCTGAATCATTGAAACGAGTCGTTTTTAAAACGAATCCCAAGCCGGTAAAAATAAATGCATATTATAAGGCAACAAAAGTGTTTTTTGACCTTGCATGCGTGTCAACCTGTTGTTGGGGACTCCCAAAACCAAAATATGAACCTTTCATTACCCATAATTGGAGCACTTTAAGCAGCACAACTGTTTTCAACATTGCTAATAACAAGAAATGAACAGCAAATCATCAGATTAGAATGATTTCTGAAAGATCATGTGACACTGAAGACTGGAGTAATGATGCTGAAGATTCAGCTTTGAATAAAGGAATAAATTACATTTTCAAATATATTCAATTAGAAAACAGCTATTTTAAATTGTAATATTCTTTCACAATATTACTGTTCTTAGTGTATTTCTGAACAAATACATGCAGCCTTGGTGAGAGTAAGAAACTTCTTTCAAAAGCATTCAAAGATTTTACTAATCCCAAAACCAGTTACAGACCTTGGCTTTTGTTGTACTGCAGTTTTGGCAGCTGCGCGATGAGAAACAGGAAGTTCACAATGGGAAAGTAAGGCAGACGCTTTGTTGTGATGTAGATCTGAAAGGAGCGATTTGAATAAAACAACAAAAAGTGGTTCATGTCAACAGACTCTATCATGTCACGTAGGATGCACTGAAATTTGGGTCTTTTTTTTTTTTTGCATCAAAGTGACTTAATCAGGCCAAAAAATTGAATGTAATCACAAAAAAGAAAATAATCACTGACATGAAGAAATAGCAGCACGTCAAATGAAGATTTCACATGTACACGACTCACTTTGTTGAGTGGGTTGTGGATTCCAGCGGCCTCCAGATACGCGGTGATCTCGTAGAGCAGAGTGTTGTCCTCTTTGGGATACGGCAGCGATGGATCCTGGTAATGAGCTTCAATATCAGACAGCAAAGACCTGGAAATGACCACACTGATATTGTAAGATGTCTACGAGGGAGAGGTGAAGGTGAAACCAACCCAAGTACTAAGAAATAAACAAGGAAGAAACATCATTCCCAACCCACTTGTTCAGATTATCCAGCGCCGCAGCGAGGTGTTTCGAGTCAAATTTGCAGGAGTAGTTCAGTTCATTGGCTATCTGCTGCCTCAAGATCTGCATCTGACCCACCTGTCAAAGGATCATTGATTGCTTTTGAATATTTATGCTGAAAAATGGATGGAAAACAAACGTCTCGTCGATAGAAAGCAGCACCTTCATGATGGCTTCCAGATACGCTGGCCAGATCTTCTGAGTCTTGGCCGCAGCGTTGGCGTAGACTTTGCTTGCATTTGCTGAATATTAATGCGGAAAGACAAATATATCAAGAGCATTATTGTGGGAATAAGTGTCAGATTTAAAGTAGTTTATCAAACACACTTACCCACAATCCCTTTGACAGGATTGACAGCCGACAGCAGAGCTTTAAAGACGTCAACCACAGCTTTGTCCTTCAGGATGTTCTTCTGAAGGACTGTCAGAAAATTCTGCGATGGACAAACAAAGACAGATTATTATTATTATTAACATGACATTTATTGCGAAGAGGAGGATTTCATGGTATGAATTTTTGAAATAATTAATGCTTCATTTTTTTTTATACAATCATGGTTGTTGATTCAGTTTTTTGTACCTGAAATCTGAAATTTTGATGCAATTTAACTTGCTTAGAATCTTTTTTTACAGTTTATAGTTGTTTGAATTTATATTATTATTACTATTAATAATAATCATTTTATCATTATTGTTGCTGTTGTTATTATAATTAACCTTTTTTTTAAATTTTATTTATCATTTATGTTACATTTATAATGTGAAGAGGGAGATTTCATGGTATTCGTGGTATGAAGTTTTTAATATTTAATCAATAATTTCAGATACAATTACAATTGTTGATCCAGTTCTTTACTAAATTATACAATATACCTGAAATCTGAAATTTTGATGCAATTCATTTTGATACTTTTGTTACAGTTTATAATTGTTTTAATTTTATTATTATCAATACTAATATACTAATACTAATACTACTAATTGTATTATTATTATTATTACTATTATTAACCACTTTTTTATTTTAATTTAATTTTTAATTTTATTTATCATTTACGTGACATTTATTGTGAAGAGGGGATTTCATGGTATTCAGTAGAGGTGTAAATATTTAATAAAAATTCTATTTTTTATTCACTTTGATTCAATTGACTTTTTGATCAAATGATTCGATTCTTACAATTCTTTACTAAAAAAATTATTAAATTACAAAAAAAAAAAAAATTATGCAATTTGACTTGATTTGACTGTTTTGTTAAGGTCTGTGATTGTTTTAAAAATGATCATCTAATAATTAATAATGATTATATTAAGATTGACCTGCAGCTCTTTCACAATCATGAAGCACAAGAGTCGGTCGAGTCCGTTCAGGCCGAAGGTTCCCAGCGTGTCCTGAATCTCCGAGAAGAGTCGGTTGTTGGTCACTTCCTGATGCGTCCTCATATCGTACCAGGTGTTCAGCTGATCAAAGTAACATGTTGTTCTGAGAGAAACGTGACATTTCTTCAGACTTTTAGCTCTCGACCATCAAAGCTTTGAGTGTTTGAAATAATCCGGTCTGCGCTGACTTACTTTGGATCTGTGATCCTCAGGATTTCCCTGCAGAGACGGCCAATAAACGTGGCCGATTCATCCACTGACGGATACTTAGGAATGGGAATGTGGGTGGACTGGTAGACGCTTTGCCAGTCTTGGATCTGAAAAGAACCTCTTTAAATCAACACTAGCAGTAAAAATAAACAACTAAATCGGAGGTTTAAATCAATAATATACTACAGAGTCAAGACCTTGGTTCTGAGGAAACTGTTACACTCCTGCTCTACGTTGTAGTTGATGATCCGAGACACTTCCTCCTGCCAGATCTTCAGGCCGTAGATGCTCACGTAATCCTGAATGTATTCAAACGAGCGGTAAAACCCATCCATGGTGGCAGCCATTTCCTTCAGCTTTGGCATCAGTTCACTGGGCTGAGAGAGACATCAGAAATCAGACAGATCATACAGAATGTAATTATAAGAAATATAATTATTCAGCAAGGCCAAATGGTTTGCTCACTTTGGCTTTGGGGTTGAAGATGAGGCCTTTGTGCAGAGCGTAAGCGACACGTTTGACGAGCTCTTTCCTGATCCCGTCCTCCAGAAGCTGCTTCGGATCCACCTGAAACAGACGTGTTTTCATGCTTACTGAGCTCTCATGGCATAAAGTAACGTTTAATATTCCATAAACACAGTAATAAGGTTAGTTAAAACATCTTCTCAGATACATTACTGTCAACGTGAATTAAAAAAAACACCCAGTTTACTCTCTTAATGCACTTTTCTGGTTTTTGTGATCTATTTAAAATGATCAAAGTGTAACATTCAGAGAATCTGTTTAGTACCTTGATAATGCCGACGAGTGTGGTCTTCATCATCAGAATCCCTTCAGTGAAGACCGAGATGGCATGAGTGAGTTTAGCTACCTGTCAGATGAAGAAGGTCAGTGAGTTACTTTATTATTATTATTAATTATAAATAAATACACAAAAACATCAAGATGGTGACTCAAGGCCTGAACTGTAAGTTCAATTTAAATTACTATGCAGGCTCGGTTTTAGAAGGAATTTTGCTGAGCATGTTAGTTACAGTACAAAAAAATACAAAATAATGTAAAAATATAGAGAGTAAAATAAATATTATATATAGAGAGAGAGAAAGTAAAAGAATATATAAATATATAGAGACTAGAAGAAATATAAGGAATAAAAGAATATAGAAAAATAAATATAAATACATAGAGGACAATAATACAAAATATACTACATTTATAATGAAATATTTTTTTAATCTGCATAAAGTCAGCACAAACAAATATTACACTGATGTATAAATATAAATAACTTCACAATTAAAAATATACAATTTTTGGATCCACCTGAAAGTTTAAAGTGTGCATTATGGTGTTAAAAAGATGTAAGTAATGTAACATTGCAAAAATAAAAAGAAATGTTTAAGTAAAGTATCATTTCTTTTGATTTTAGGGTAGAATCTACAATTTTAGTAACAAAAAAAAAACTTTTAATAATTTTTATATATATATATATATACTGATTAAAAACTTAATTTTTGATTAGTAATATGCATTGCTAAGAACTTCATTTGGACAACTTTAAAGGTGATTTTCTCAATATTTTGATTTTTTTGCACCCTCAGATTCCAGCTTTTCAAATATTGTCCTATCCTAACAAACCATACATCAATGGAAAGCTGTATAAATCTCAATTTCAAAAAATTGTGGTCCAGGGTCACATATATGAACAGGCCAGTCTGACTCACCTTCAGGAAAGTGGCTCTGAGTTTGGTCACCATCGTGGGGTTTGCTCTGATACTCTCTTGCATTATTGATGTGAAGCTGTGAGAAACACATTTGGAAAAGGAACTTCAGCCTAAAATTTTGAAGGGAAACCAAAAAGAGGCCAATGTAGCGCCATCACCTGTCAATGATCTGCCAGGCGTAGGACAAATCTCCCACTATCTGCATGGTGATGAGCACTTCCTCTTTGATATTGATGGTGCGGATCATCTGATGGAGGAACTTGCGCGTGTCCGCCAGGAACTGACACACCTGCAGGTTGGACTCCAGCTGGTGAAACTCTTGGACCTTTCCAGAGAAACAATTTCATGTGAAATCACTGCAGAGGGTCACATCACATCACTGCACAGCACACGTTCAGATCTGTCCGTACCTCCACAAGAGCCTGAATGAGCTGCACAGTCTTCCTGCCGGCAGCGGTCGAGTCCTCATAGTTCAGGGACTCGATCTGTTTGGAGATCTCTCTGAACCAGGCCTGAAGATTCTCTGCTCAAACAAATGAATGCATGAACACACTGACAATAATGTCCACAGTTTGCCTCCTGCATGTTGTGGGGCCATTTTACCATTTTTCTCCACCCTGGTGAGAGGTTTGACCCCAGAAAACACCTCGGCCAGCTCCATCATTCTCTCTGATCCCTCTTTCTTATAGCTCTCCCACTTCAGCTGCTTCTCTGCCAACATCTGCTTGAACATCTGAGAATCACACAAACCAAGAGGAATGAATAACCAGAGGCCCAGTAACAAATCAAACTATCTTTCAAACATTTGGGGTCGGTAAGTTTTCTTGATGTTTTTGAAAGGAGTCTCTAATGCTCACCAAGGCTACATTTAATTGATGAATAAAAATACAGTAAATTGCAATATTGTGAAATGTTATTAGAATTTAAAATTATTATTTCTATTTGAATATATATTAAAATGTAATTTATTCCTGTGATGCAAAGCTGAATTTTCAGCATCATTACTCCAGTCTTCAGTGTCACATGATCCTTCAGAAATCATTCTGATATACTGATTTGCTGCTTAAGAAACATCTCTTACAAGTACTATTTATTATTTAAACATTTATTATTAGTAGAAGGAGTAATAAAAACTTACTACTTAACAGTATCACTGTAAGATTGAGAATTATCATCATTATATTTTATATTTACCTCTTTGAGGATGAACTCAAACTGGGCCGTGTCCAGCAGCAGCTGAAACAGAATTTTGGGATTGTATTTGGAGTCGTTGATGACTTGATCTTTGATCTGACGCAGTCTCTTGTTGTTTGGATCATAAGCTTTAACAAAAATTAAAAAACAATTACTTAGAAAAGTCTTTTGATGCATTCTGACAAACACCAAACTCTACAAAGTGATAATTCCTTCTAAATAAATTCAGTAATCAAAACCCAAAACATCTAACAAGGGGTCCAGAGCCCACTAGAGGGCCTCAGCAAACTTCCAAGGGGCTCTCAAGACAACTTAAAACTATTTTAATTCACCCTCTTTTATTTAAGAACCAGAATTCCGATGGTCTTGGAAAACCAGGATATTTAAGGAAGCACAATTTTACAAGTGTGATTTCTAGACTGAAAAAAAAGTCATGTAAATGTATAAAATCTTAAGAAGTCTTGGAATTGTTTTATAACAAATAAAATTTTCTAGTTGTGCAAAGTTCTAAAATATTTCATCAGGGAGAAATTGTTATTTGTGAATAAAAACTATTCAAAATTCATCTATTCACTTTTAATTATTTTAAAATGAGATTTTTATTCATTTAAATGTTTTTTTTTTTTTTATTATTTTAAAATTATTATATATAAGAACTATGTATTATGTAATGTAATTATTATTATTTTATTTTAATATATTGACACACCTAGTTTCTGTACATACAGTTTTAAAATGAGCTTTGTTATTACAGCAGAAGTACCAGAAAGATCTGATCTATTGTCTTTGAAATCTATTGTCACCCTCTGAGTCAAAAAGGTTGAGAACTGCTGATTTCATTACTGGCCCATGACATCTCACCGGACTCTGCAGTGTGCAGCATCAGCCAGCGGATGGCAACGTTACAGTCACGGAGGCAGTTGAGCAGTTTGGGAATGTTGTCCAGGACGATTTCTTCTCTCAGGAATCCCTCCTTCAATAACTGCTGCACCTGCGACCGCAAACTCTCCACACTGGCAGCGTATCGACCGGCCTGAGAGGACAGAACACAAGTACACGCTGACTGAGTACGATTCCAGAGTGACTCTGGTTTAGATCGAACACGAGTGAACGGGAAAAGCCCAGGTGACTGTACCTGTTCTCTGATGTTGGCTGTCTCCAGCGTGTAGTTCAGGGCCGTTTTAGCAGCTTTATATGGTTCCCACGCCTCCACCAAATTCACAGTGATCCCCATGTATATGCTTATAACCTGAAGATATAAGGTGGATATTGCAATATATCAAGAAATGCACATTTTCGGAATTGACATGATTAATGAAGTCTTCTCACCCAGTTGTCAGGGAAGTATTTGTCCACGATCTCTCTCATCTTGGCCTGTTGTGTGTGAAGGATGGAGGGGGTGAAGTATAAGCAGACACACAGCATAGCAGCCTGTGTTGCCAGCGCTGTACTGCGGTGCTCCGGCAGAGGATACGCAGAAACCTGCAGCACAACAGATGAAACATTTACATAACATGAAGCATGATTAGACAGGAGTTATGTCTAAATGAGGGGTTTTCAAAAGTTTGATGCCACGGACCCCCCACACTACTGTCTTGCCTGGTTGTAAATGTCATCAGAGCGGAGGCGGCCGATCACCATACTGATGAAGGTGGGGCTGATGGGAACTCTCTGGAAGTAGCTCTCGGGGTAGTTGGGCGGCCGTTTGGCCCCTGGGTGGCTGGAGTATCCCGTGCTACGCAGGAGCTTGCAGATGTCGTCCAGGTTTGAGTCAGCCGAGGAGCGAGCAGCACTGGGGAGATGAACATTTTTATATAATGTGTTTATTCAGTAGCACATTGACGTGTTTGTCCAATTGTTGAGATATTTCACCTCATCTGAGCTGCTTGTGAGCTGTTGAAGCCAATCAAACATCTCCAAAAAACACAAGGGTATAAAGGACAGTCTTACCTGTATCTGTAGTAGGACACCAGCATCCTTTCTCTCACCTCTCCCTCCATCTTCTGATCAATGACCAGTAACATGACTCCATACAGGTACAGAGCCTCACACTGACAGAAATCACACGCATTTACAATCTGATTCACTCCGTTAATTCTTATCTGTATTTAGTGAAGCAAAACACTTTACCAGGAGCTGTTTCCCATCTTCATTCAATAAAACAGTTTCTAGTGTTTGCTGAATGTAGACCCCTTCATTGAGATCATCCAAGTACCTTCAGAGGAAACACTTCATCATTTTTACTTGAATAAATAATTTAAAATTTGATTAGGAAGGAAAATCACCACAGATCTTTGTGGCAGAGGACCATTATGTCAAATAAATACATTTTAATAATTGCTCCAGCAAAACTAATAGTGCTATCATCACAAGATTATTTGAATGTTCCGCTAATTTCAATAAAAATCATTTAGTCACAATTTGAAAACAACACACACCTTATCAAGTCTACGACATATTTATGGACACTCTCAAAGGCCAGGTAGAACCGTGTCAATATCTCGATGTTATTCTCCCGAAACTCCTCATCTAAATCCTGCAGCTCCGGCTTTGCTTCCAGTTTACTCTCATAATACTCCGGACCCTAGAAAACACAGATTCATATCAAAACCATTTGCTTACTGTAAATCTATCTGATCATCTCAGCAAACCCAGATCCTATTCATTTAACAAGACATAATTAAAGATAACAATTCGAGTAACGTACCTTAAAGTAGCTGAAATCACAGATTATGTCTCCATATTTCTGCTGGTCGCTCTTGTCTTTGAGTCTGAAAACTGCAGGAATAAATTCTGACAGTCTGAGTAATTCAGCTATGTTGGCGTTTCCTCTGGACACGATCCTCAGGATGGCCTGACCACACAGGTTGTTCTCTGCCAGAAAGTCCACCATGATGAGGAAGCAACCAGCAGATCTGTTCTCTGATCAAAGCTTCATTCAGTCTCCTCAGTGATGGCTAGATCTGATGATATTCAGTAATAACATTACTTTTGCATACTACCCACGTAATTGAGTGTCATCACTACAGATGTACATACAGTCATTTTACACTACACGGACCTCAAATTATAATAAATAATATTTCAATAAAAACCTATTTTGATCAAAAATTGATCAAACAGCGCTAAAACGGTCTGAATGCACCAGATACGGTTCACTATGAATGAAGCGATACATTATAACAGCCAAACCCACATAGAAAATAGGTTTATATGATTATATTTTGTTTGGTGAATTTAGATTCTTGTCACTCACCCTCTGCAGTACAGAGCAGACACTTCCTGTTTACAAATCACGTGAGTGTCACGAGGAGAGCTCCACCCGGCGCTTATGCAGCTAAATGATTGCGTACTGGTTAACTGCTTCAAAATAAAAGACTCACAGTTGATGTTTTAAAGATGTCTATTTGAGTGATTCTTCAGAGTTGTTTTATTAGGTGCTATTACCAAACTATAAGTATTTAAGTATTTTAATTCAGAAACATTCAATACCTTTTTATTTCCTGAGATATATATATATATATATATATTTATATATAGATTACCTTGAAATTACATTTTTTTTTCAACATTTCATATATGCAAAAGTGCCCGTCTGAAAAATCACTCATGCCATAACACTAATTAACATATTATTAAATTATTGTCATTTGTACTTTATTTAAAATGTAGAATTTTTTGTAATTTTAAGATTTGTACATAGTATTCTTCAATATACTACAGAAATAAAGTTTTTGAGTAGTTATTGAATAGTTAAAGCATATCTTTCACCTGTACCCCATCATCTGCAGTTGTGATTTATTCTGTATACCCAACAGTGAAATACCCCTCATGAATTAATAATCGTCTAGTACTGCACAGTGATGCAGTGTTTACTATATAAAATGTAATGATGTACTAAAATATGTTTCATGCCATTCTCCCAGTATGACATTTTATAATGTAGTCTCAGTTATTATTAAAGAGATTTGAGATTGATAAGAAGAATGTGATGCCATTAGGACACTTACTCAAAAGACCGACTTTGAGGGAAAAAAAGAACCGCAAACAGCATTTTTTTTTTTTTCATCCAAATTTATTGCGTTGTCCTCAAACAAGTAGAAAATATATATATTTAGTCTAAATCTAGCAAAAGCCTATTAAAACAGTTCAATTAAATTAAAAGCATTGCACAAGGCCTATGGCTCTGGGAAATAAAGCTTTTGCCACCACAGCGGCGTCTACAGATTTTAAGGCTCGTCATGAGTTTCAAATCACAATCCATGATGGTTCCAGATCTGTATTATTATTATTATCGGTGCATGTAAAAATCTATGTTTTTCAGAGCCTAGAACCAGACAGTCTAATCTGAATCTGACCATTTTAGAAACTGTAGTGTTATGCTATCAGTGGCAGCAGAAGGAAGCATAACATATAACTGTGGTTTGATTCTAAACTAAGATGCATTCAAAGCAAGATCCCAGTAAGGCTCTCAAACTCTAAAAAACATGAAAGGATCGGTTGTTAACAGTGGAGAGGACACATTTTGCTAAGTTTAAATGTGCTATTTTGTTCAAACAGTACTTACCATGTTCACAGAGGCACCTTTGACCTCTTGCCTATAATACACTACAGTATTCACAGGAAAATGCAGAGGGTTGCAAGCAAGTCAAATGAATTTTCACCAAAAAAAGTAAGGAATCCATGGCATAAAACCAAAAATACAACACAGAGCTCTTAAAAATTTGTAAAATAGCGGTCTCAAATCACACAAGAATTATTTGAATGACCACCATACAAGTAACACACTCGTGTAGAGGTGAAATTTAACATCACTATAAATACAAACTTATAAAAGGATTTAAACTACTGGTTGAGCATAAAGGCATATGTACAAAGTGAACTTTTTTTTCCCTCCATCATTCTACTAAATGTCAGATACATGCTGATATAATGAAGATGGTGAATGTCTTACACAGGGGTGATTTTAAAAGTACCAGTCAGTGCTGTTTTCATGCACAAATATAAAAAGACAACCTCAAATTACACTCATGTGGTAATTATTCATCAATAGTTCATGTTTCATTTAATCCTATAAAAGCAAGGTATTAATGGAAAACAAAAATGCGTATTCCCCCAAAAAAGATGGAAAACATATTACTTCATGAATAGGGCAAATACGCATTGTTTTCTTAACATGATCAGTTAAAATGTGTCAAGCAAATGAAAGTCCCCTTTGCTTGCAGGCTTATGAACTGTGTAGAGGAGAAATCTGAGGGAGATCTCAATTCAAAAATGAACAAACCGCAAACAACAACCAAAAAACAGGAATTCCCCATGTTCCCACTGAATTTTAGAAAATACTTGAAAACGGTCCAATTGAAAAACTGCAAAATAGTCACATCACCTGTTTATTAGAACCATTGACATTTCCACAAACTAACTTCCCCAGCAAGATGAGTATTAGCTGTTATTGTTTGAAGATGACCCCATTAACCCCAGTCAACGGGACTACAGGAATACCTACAACTTCCTGTTGGGATGTACTGTGCTGTACATCACATATCCATGGTCAGTATGTAGACGATTAAACACTGGGAATGAAAAATAAAACACTTTTGTGTCACTGAATTTGAAAATTCAATTTGAAATGTTTAGTCTCGCCCTACACAAATAAGGTGGCTAAGTTGCGTTTAAGTTCCGTACATCACAGTGGTTGACAAAGTGCCTCATGCGTCCAATTGACACAATGTATTCATGAATATTCCCTTAATTAGCTATTGTGTCCATTATTAAGGGAACCATAACATTCAATACAACACCTTTGGCACTAAGTGTTCTCCATTTGACTCAAAATGAAAAAAGCCCATTTAAAAGGCCCTATAGAAAGGCCTAGGATGTCTTTGCATGTACAAAGGTTTAAGGTGCATGATCAATTCTGGTAGACATAAGTTCAAATTGTATGCATGATATTGTTAATATTATTTAAGGGATCTTGAGTTATCGCTGCAACTTCAGAGCCGCAGAGAAAAAAACCCTGTTAATGTGCATGACTTCTCAATCTTTAAATGTTTTCAAACATTCTGACCAAAAACGGTTCTCCTCAATGTTTATGATAGAAAGATCTTGTCAAACCTTATGTGAAACTACATAGAATATAAGAAGAATTGGTGCAGTGGTAGAGGGCATGTGGTCGAGACCCAACACAGTCATGGTTTTTCACCAAGGGCCATTGCTCAGAATAAAGCCAATTCAGAAAGATCACTGACCCTCAGACATGGGCAATGTTTTTCGAACGCTCTGTGGAGGCTCCCAGGTATCGCTGTCATCAGTGTCGTCGTCATCTTCATCTCCCAAAACAGGTCCTTGCTCCTCAACCGCAGTCTCATTTTCACCCTGTGACTCGTCCTCCTCCTCAACTTGGTCTTCATTTCCCGTTTTATCTTCAAACGGGTTGGTACCAATTTCCTCCTTCTGATGAATCTCTGCAAACCACTCTCTCACCTGCTCGTAGCTCATGTTAGACTTGGCGACAAGCTCATCCAAGTCCTGTTCATTCAGGAACTTGTGCTTCAAGTAGTACTCCTTCAGAGTATCCCGTCCAGACTTGAACCTGATTGGTAAATTCTTCTCCGATTCTGTGTGCTTCTTTGCTTTTCTACTACGGGTTCTTCCCCAACCGCGGTTTCGAATCCTCCGTTTTCTGTTTTTGTTGCCATTCGTTCCTCCCATGTTTCCACTTTGATAGTAAAAATACCACTTCAAGTTGCCATTCTTCCAGGCATAGCGTGTGTCGCCAAACCAGTTGACGATGTAGGAACGAGGCAGTCCACTCTCCTCAGCCAGCTGGTCGTATTCTTCCATCGAGGGCCACTGGGTGCGAATGAACGCAGTCTTCAGAACATGAAGCTGCTCGGGAGTTTTCTTAGTAACCTTCTCTTTGCTTAGCCTCTTTCCTCCAGGTGGAGTTTGGCTCCCCTTATTTTGGGACGTTTCACCATCTGCTTTTGACTCTGAGGAATCAGGCACAGGGGTTTTTCTTTTTTCTGTAAACCAGGCATCGATCTCACGTCTGGTAAGTTTCGTCTCGGTCCTCAGCCGGCTGAGCTCTTCATCAGTTGGTGTGTCACATTTCTGAAAGCTTTCATCTAGGACCACCAACTGCTCTGGTGTCTTTTCTTTAAACTTCTGCAGCGTAAAGTCCGGGAAGGGGTTCCAGGTCTTGGCACGTGTCTCCTTCTCTTTGATGGGCGATGGCGTCGGAGACTGTGGCGTTTCATCGCTGGAGTCGATAACAATGGTGGCACTGCTACTACCCCTGGGATTGTCATTGACGATGAAGGCGTGGCTGTTCTTAGAATTGCGCTGGTTGTATCGGGTGTCGCTGAACCACTTTTTAATCTCACCTTTGGTGAGGTTGGTCAACTTCATTAGCCTAGCTATCTCAGCATCACTGGCAAACTGATTCTTCAGATAGCTTGCTTTCAATTCAGACAGCTGTTCCTTGGATTTCTTAGGCCGCAGGCCAAAGTGATCGGCACTGAGTGCAGAGTTCTCCTGAGGGGTCAGCGATGGGGGCTGAACTGTAGTAGCTCTCTTAGTTTCACTGAGCGCAGGGCTTGTTTGATTAGTTGTGAACTTGGGCGTCTGGCTTTGACTGGGCATTCCTGCTACTGTCAGGGTTATCGGTGTGGTCACTGGGAAGCTGTTGGCTGTGCCAACCTGTGTCAGAACCAGACCTGGTTGACCCACAATCTGGCAGGTCTGAAGAATAGACTGCAGGCCATTAGTGGCGGAAAAATGATGGGCTGGGATGACTGTGATGGTCTGGGGAACTGTGTGGACTGTGCCATTAAATTGCTTCCTCCTGGCTTCCTCAACCTCTTCTGGGGTCCAACTAACACCATGCTTCAAACGCTGAGCCGAAAACCAGATCTTTATCTGCTCCTCACTGAACTTGGTCTGTGCTGCAAGACCCATGATTTCAGACACAGACGGGTAGGGGAACTTCTTGTAGGTGTTGACCAGGACTGCATTGGAGTCCATCGCAGCATTATATGTGGGAATACTACTTACTGGTATTAGAAGTTGAGTTTGAGCACTCTGCTGGGCCTGCAAGGCAGAAAGCACCTGGGCCAGGCCTGCCGGAAGAACCGTCGCAGAGTTCATAACCAGCTTCTTCTGATCTGCTACCACAGGGTTTGAAATATTGACAAGAACGCTGGGCTTTACAGACTCTGTGAACAATGGGCTCATGAGTTCTGGTGCCATGCAAGTGGCCATCACCGACGCTTCCAGTGGCTCCAGTTCCATCTCACTTTCAATCACTGCCTCGCTTTCACTTGTGCCTTTTAGAGACACAGCTATTCTCTTGGGTTCAGACTTGCTTTTCATTTTCATTATAGGAGTCTTGCTGAGAGGGATTCCAGTAAGTGAGGGGTCATCACTATCCACCATCTCTTTCTGCACAAAACCACCCTCGGCGATCAGATCAGAGATGGGCTGCTCTAGTGACGTTTGACCAGAGCGTTTTCCTGAAGAACGACATTCCTCACTCGAGAAATGGATCCCCTCATGTTCTGTAGGGACAATTAAAGGATTACTTTGATTAGAATCAGTATTGAGCACGAGTGTCTGATAGGTAAAAAGTGCATGACTTTTGACTTGTTAAAGTTTTTTTTTTTTTTGGTCCTAACCAGCTGCAACCGTCAACAGCATTGTGCGACAAGAGGTTACTTATTGTTTTTTCCTTTTTGCATTCTGCAAGATAGCCCCGCCAAATTCCATTTGTCCAAAATCTCACTCAACATAGCTGTATATAAAACATCAAAAAGATTTTTATTTTGCAGCAGAACTTTTAATGTGAACAGAAATGTTACTTGTCATGTTGCACTTGGTAAGGACACAGCACCATGCCAACCAGGACAAAAAAAATTGGCCTTGAGAAAGTGAACTTCACCTGTTTCTGTTTCCATGGGAACCACTGCTCCCTCAGTAGGACCGTCTGCCATACTCTCAGCTCCTTCATTCCCTTCCAGGGCCTCCATATCAGGATCTTGCTCTACAACATCTGATGGAAGCACCATGCAGGGGGTAGTGGACTTCCTTCTGCTCGACATTGTGTTTGTGAATGTGAAAAAGAAAATATAAGATGGCCAGAACCTCCAGGAGGTTGAATTTACATGCTAAACGTTAGTCTCATTCCAAGATTTGAGCTCAACATCCTGAAAGACACAGAGAAACAAAAACACACACACACAAGACACTGGTTAAAATGTAAACATGGGACAGTTGACCTATAATTAAAAACATTTACCGATGCATTCATAGAGACACTAGATCAAATTACCACACAAGTGTAGTATCTTCTGCTGCATTCCACTATTTTCTTGTTTGACACAATCAGTATTGTATAAAGCACTATATAAATAAAGGTGACTTGATTTGATTAAAGACAATAATTTAGAATTAAATGCTAATCCAACACTGCAGAATCTAGGTAGCACTTTACAGTAAGGCCGTATATGTTAACAGTAGATTAAACGTCAGTTAATGTGAACTTTTTTTTTAATCGGTTATCTAACATGTGACATATTTATCTATAGTCCTATAGGTTTAGTGCATCTGCATACACTGTAGTGACCTACAGCTGTCAGATATCTATTTTTGCTGAATATTATGTTGACAATGTTTCATAGTTTTTCTAAAACTAAAAATCAGCTTTGAAAACACTGAACATGAAGTAAAAACTGCCAATAACTCCAAAATATGAAACCGCAATTACAGACAATTATTTAAAATGTACTGTAACATGTTTATTGTGCGTTTGATTTTATAAATTAAATTTTGACATGAATGACTCCGTTTCATGTGGTGCAAATAAATAAATAAAAATACCAGATACAAATATTGAACAAAAATATTTTTATAATATTAATAATAACGATCTAATAATAATAATAAATTTAAATGTTAATGACAGTGATCTTAGTTAAAGTTAATTCCCATAACTATACATATCTAACATTAAAAGTTGTGTTTACATTAACTACTGCATTAAGAACAAACATACTCTAAAAATGAATAACGGAGCATTTAGAAATTAATATTAATAAATTATATAAATGACACAATGCATTAACCATTGTTAATGTCTTCGGTCCCTTTGTGTCACTATATAATAGGCTTCACCACTGAACAATAGTTCAGTTGCAGACTGAGAAACGTCAGACGTGCGAGACGAGTTCAGTTTATGAGCGTTTAGAGTGTGTTCCCTTACAAACACTGGCGGTTCCATTGTACACTTGGCACAGATGATAAAACCATGGTAAGAATTTATTACCATATTCAAGCACTTAAGCGTTATCATTTAACCATGGTACTACCATATGCACCATGGTATTTACTGAACTACCTTTGAGTACCAAGTTAATGGTACATAAATTTCAGCACCATAGTATATATCAACGTACAATGGTGTTACCAGATACCATCATTATACAATGATACATTGTATATGTATGGTACCCCAAGAATGCTCAGAAAATTACTATGGTATTACCATGTTACAAAGTATAAAAACAAGATAATACCACGGTACTTTTTGTTAGCGAGGGAGCTTCAGGGATGCGCTGGAACTCACCGGCCGCGAGCTTCAGTGTCAAATCGCGGCTCTGGGTGCGAGTATCCTCCGGTTCAGCAGCAGGAAGAGCGGAGGCGAGACGGAACGAGACCCGCCGCACTTAGCGGGGGGAAAACCCTGGATGGACCGGACAGATTCCACGCCGATCGGATGTTTCTCTCCCTGATGTCTCAGTTACTCTATTGTTTGGCCAGGCACACTGCGCTGGTGTTTTATGGGTCTCTCAGTAAACACAATAATCATCTAGAGCGGAGGAGAGACGGAACGAGACCCGCCGCACTTAGCGGGGGGAAAACCCTGGATGGACCGGACAGATTCCACGCCGATCGGATGTTTCTCTCCCTGATGTCTCAGTTACTCTATTGTTTGGCCAGGCACACTGCGCTGGTGTTTTATGGGTCTCTCAGTAAACACAATAATCATCTACGCACATTTTAATGGCAGTTTTTAATGATCATCAGGCGTCACCGCTGTCAGTTATACGTCGTGACATCATCGCCAGGCGACTCCCAGCCGTCACGTAAAATCAGCGTTAAAACATGTTTGGACGCTAATTTAATCGAGACACTCACACAGTACTTTGTACGGGCCCAATGCACACACCTGTGGACTTTAATATTGTCTAGTATGCGCTAAGAAACCAGAGCACTGACTATAGAAACGTACAACCTCCAAGTCAAGTCTGCTTTATTGTCTATTCTTCCACATGTACAGCACATACACACAGAGAATTGAAATTGCGTTACTCTCAGATCCTTGGTGCATACAGATAACACTAACTGTAGAACATAAATACAGATAGATACAGAATCTGTATTTATGTTATGAACATCCAAACTATGAAACTGCCCAATCAGAGCCAACTTGCATTCACGTGACCCTCATGCATCTCTTCAAGTGGAATTTTCCTCATGTTTCCTACTAGCTTGATTTAGATATTATCAGAAACAGAAGAGTAGAAACCACAAGCGATTACAACACACAACTATTTGCAGTACTTTAGGCAAAGAGTAGATCAGATGTTTGTACCATTACCAAACTATATGCTTGGTATAAAAAAAAACCCCAAAGACTGATAATTGTGATAAAGGCTTTAATATGCACAACACTCAAAGACATGACTAAAGAATTAGCAAAATATAATTTATAGACTAGTTATTATAAGAAATATATAGTATAGTTTGTTTAAAGAACTAGGAACTCTTCAACTTCTTTTGACATCTCCTGGAAAATAAAAGAAAATACATGTTTAGTAGGCAGATAAAGTCAATAAGCCTTTTAAATATGAAAAAAAAAAATGGTTAATCACAACTAGCAAGTTTTAATGTACTGTACAATCAACAGAATAGTGAGTTAATAAGGCAGCAGGACGTATTCTTGCATAATCTACATGTACCTGTATAAGTGCAGTCTTGTCATTATCTTTCCTGTGTCTATAAATACTCTGGCACAGCAGAGCATACAGTTTCTCCAGTTGATTGACCTCATATCCCTCTGTCATGTCCACAACTGTCTGTAGAAGTTCCTGAATTAATAATGAAAACGGAGATTGAAAACACCTTTTCAATGTAGAAATCAAGTTAACATGCATGCATACTTCTTCAGTTTTCCCACTATCTGTTATTGTTTCTGCAGTTAGATGAAGATATCGGACTTACTTTCAGTTTGTTGTGGTCCACGATGAGAGGCATGTTCTTCTGCTCCAGGATCTTCATGGCAGCATCCACACTGATGAGACTCTGCTGTTCGGCCTGCATCTTAAAACCTCTCATCATCCGCCTCAGTCTCAACTCTGAAAATCCCATGCAAACTCAAGTACTGCTTCATGTTCATTGAAACACCACAACTGTTATAAAATAAATGCTAAATGTTTTTTGTGATTTGCTAACCTGTTCCTGTGTTGTCCTCTGCACTTGGCTCCGTCCTCTTAGTTTCAGTGCTCTCTGATTCTTGGACACCATTTTGGCCATTTATGGCATTATTCTGGGTGGTCTCAACACTCATGACTTCGTCTAATGCAGAGGCAGTATTGCCACGTTCTTGTCCTTCATTAGTGATGTTGTTATTCTGTGCTACAGCCGTGGATTCTGAGGGTTCCTCTGTACGAGCACAGCAATCAGTCTCCATTGACTCACATTCAACATCTTTCATCTTCTCTGGATCTTCACTCTCAGCCAGTTTTCCATCTTCCTCTTCATCCTCCTCTTCGTCCCCTGATTCTGCTGTGTTAGGGTTATCTTTTGAGTTCAAATGTGAGCAAGACTTCTTTCTGCAGATGAAGCCATTTTTCCATCGGTTTTTCCTCTTCTTTTTCATCTGTGATGCTGTGGATAGACAAAACATTTCATTCACAGCCTGCATGAAAGAAAGCCTACCAATCTGACTTAATGTCAAAAGTACTGGTAAAATATTTTAAGTATGTAAGTCAATGCAATTTTTTTTTTCATATAAATCAAACAATATCGACGAGAAAAACAAAACCACTCAATTTATAATAACGCCGTTATTACTGTCTCTTTAATTGAATTGGCAAAGTTTTTTTATTTTTTTATTTAATTGGGACATACCTTTAAAGGCTACATGCCATTATTTTAATGTTAATATTTAACTTTTAAATATATTAAATAAAATATTAATTTTTAACATTAAATAAAAATGGCATGTAACCTTCAAGTATGTCCCAAAATGAAAACAATAAATAAATAAATAACAACAATAATAATTTTACAATGGAAAATGAAAACTGCCAAATAATAATAATATTGTGGTTTCAAAACTGATATCAAGACTCATGAAATGTCACAAGTGCTGATAATTTAAATCAAAACTACAGATGCTAAAACCTCAAATCCTACCTCATGCATGGCAGTTTTGAGAGGCTCTACAGCATTGATGTCAGGCAGTACAGCTTTGTTAATCACCTGTATTAATTCCTGTTTGACGTGGTGATATCACTGCTTGTGCTGGCACAAGTGTAGCATCTTTACTGGGTTCTGGATCACCCGTCTTCTGCTCCACTGTAGCAGACACCTTTGGCAGCACGTGGTAGTAGGCAGGAGTGAACAGTGACGAGATGGAGCCTGAAAATAAAATATTAGAAATGTGAGTGATGGCCACAGTCTCACTCCAATCAACATATGATCTACAGTAGCATCAGCGAAACCTCGTCTGATGCGAGACTCCTTGATCTCAGCGCAGGTCTTCTCAAAGTCCTCATCTAATTCATCTCTGATTATGGCATGCACAGTGTCCTTGAGTGCACAGGCACGGTGTCTGATGAGCCGATCTATTAAAAGCACAAACATCATAGCTATTGCATGCCACAGAAATCACACAAATGTTATGCAATTATGCAAAACACACTTGGAAAGTCATAAAGGATAGTTCTATCTCTGAAATTTGACCACATATGCCATCAAAGTAAAACAGCAAATGCTGACAAACCCTTTACTGCACATTTGAGTTGAATGCAAACTGTAAACTGCCTACATACAATAAGGTGGTTGTGTCACCAATGTTCAGTAAATAAATCACATACCAGTCAAAAGTTTGGAATAATTACAATTTTACAATGTTTCTGGAAGTCTTTTATGCTCATCCAAGGCTGAATTTAGTTGATCAAATATAAAATAAAAACAGCAACATTGTTAAATATTACACTAAAACTGCCGGTAGGTAGCTGCAAGTCTTAATGAGTAAATCATTTATTTAACGGATTCCTTCAAATGGCCGATTAATAAAAAAAAAAAAAAAAAAATTATGAATGGGCCACTGAATCATTCAGGGCTCATACACATTTTTACCAATAAATTTCCATGACTTTTGAGACATGACATGACCTAATGTTCCATTATTTTACAAGTATATATGTAAAATAAGAATAAAAATCCATTAGAATTTATCATAGCATCTGTTAACTAAAACGAATGACTATTAATGCTACTTATTTGCTTTCTATTCGTTTTAATAATAAGTACAAGCTGCGACTGTGCCAGAAGTTACTCCACGCAGAGAACATATCACATCACTGAATATTATAATTTATTTAACCAATATTATCAACTAAACTCAGGACCTGAATTTCATTTAGGAAACCGTTTAGGTCTAACAGTAGTATTCAGGTCCAGAAATTGAATAAACTGTAAATTAAAAACAATTCTTAAAATTAAAGTTACAAAAAGTTTAGTCAAGAGCAGTGATTGATCTTTTTTTGTGTGATTGAGTGATTTTTAATTTTTTTGTCTTTTGTTGTTTGATTAACATTAATGACAGTCGGCACAGCTTTATTAGGGTGCTGTCCCTTTAAAGGGGTGGTTCATTGCAATTTCACTTTTTTTAATGTTAGTTAGTGTGCAATGTTGCTGTTTGAGCATAAACAATATCTGCAAAGTTACGAAGCTGAAAGTTCAATGCAAACGGAGATATCATCTTTTAAAATTCTGGCGGTTTAATGCCTACAAAAACGGCTGGTAGGGACTACAACAAGTTACTTCCCGGGTTCGTGACATCACAAACCCAGATAAACCCCGCCCTCGGGAAAAGGCAGCAAAGGGGGCGAGGCCATGCTGCGCTGCTTTAGAGAAGAGGAAGAGAAAACTAGAGGTGCAGGTAAAAATCTGTCTTCTAATGATTCTAATGGATTCACAAGTTTCAAAATCAATGTTCTAAAGCAGCGGTTCTCAATACTGTTCCTTGCGTCCCCCTGTTCTGCATCTCTCTCTCTCTCTCTCATTCAGCTCAGCTCCAACAACGAACTGTTCCAATTATACACTTATTTTCACATAGCTATGAGAAGCGTTAAACATGGACACGCGTGCAGTTGCTGTACTGTATTAAAGCTTTAATCAGGATAAAACCGTATATAAATACATTAAATATATATATATATTATTTCATTTCCAACACTGAGCTGTTATTAAAAATATGACTATAAATTTAGTGTTAAATACAGAGACAAAATGAAAAGAAAACGCCATTTCTGAAAACAGTCAGTTCCGTTCCCCTCAGAAACACATTCATATAAAATTCAATATTTGGATTTTCTTCCTATATTTTGCGCATCGTGAACAGTGATCTTGTTCTGCCTGCAACAGTATTTTCTCCTCTTTGTGTCCGTATTCAGCATCTCTGGCCTCTGTTAACGCCCGTTTACAGACTAAGTATAATAATAACGGAATATTTCCACACAAATGGCCATTGGGGAAATGATTGCAGTGCAGTTTGTGTGCAAGCACGGAACTGAAGATAGTCTGAAAT